CTGCTATACCTAGTAAAAACCTGGACAGACTTGGGTAAAAAGTAGCTTGGGAGAAAAGTTTTCCTTTTGAGTTAGAGTAGGATTCTACTTGTAGAATCCTACACGTTTTTTGAGCCCTATTGTGGCTTAATTTCGGGTCTATTAAAGGAAGACTAGTTTCACCTAATTACTTACCAGTTAGTTGTATTGTTCTTGCCCACCCAATAGCAAAATCGTCCAAGGTTTTACTAGGCAAATAGCAGAAGACTGCAGCCCTGGATTCTTGCTGTTTGGAAGGTTTGTGCAACTACTTCAAGAGGTCAGTGCTTCTAATCTCGTTATTATTATGTTATCTAGTTTACATGTATTTGATGCGTGGATTGTATGCTTGCTTCCACTGCGCATGTTCTAACAATTGGTATTAGACGCCGTCTTACATCTAACTAGATAATGTAATACAACATGCATAGAGTAATATTAAAACGTGTTATTTATTGATACATGTTTGAGATGATTATTCTATGTTAAAAACGTGATTGTATTTATTAGTATCTTAATTCTGTAATTCTGAAATTATGAATTAATAAACACATGTATAAACAGTGGTGTTATACTTAAATAACAATCTGTTCAAGTTACGTTTTTTGTTACTGAATAGCAATTTTTTTTTAAAAAAACGTGACTGAGTTTTTTGAATGCTATTAATGCTGTAATTATGGGTTAATATACATATGCATAAATAGTGAATTAATACCATTAATCTATTTTAGTTGCGTTCTGTCTATAATCACAGTGTTATATTAATAAAAACTTGACTGTTTTATATGATATTAGTTCTGTAATTTTGGATTAATATACAGAATTACGAACAGTACCGTTTTTGACTAGTGGAAACATATCGTTTTTTACTATTCTGTTTAAACACGTTTTTATTAAATAAAAAAAAAATTATTTTGAGTTCTGAAATCATGTATTAACAAAACATCAGTATATTATGTGATTTGAACAAGTCAAAATAATTAAAACCCCTTAAAACGCCAAAAACAGAATTTTAGTCACGCGTAGAATTCTGAAATTCTGTCGAACTCCGATTGACCTCAAATTTGGTAGGTTCATCGGAAACGGCCCAACTTAAAGAACTCATGAGCTTTGCTGCTGATGTACGTCGTTTTTTGGGCATTCGGGGTCATTTAGATGGAGTTTTGGCCTTTTTTCTATTTTCTGGATTTTTTTTAATAATAAAAAATTATTAATAGAAATATGTGATGGTAGGGTTCAATTACCATTGTTTCCAATCATGTTTTACAATAATATAATGAATTTATATGTTGACATAGGTCTTCTTCCACATCGGATGAATTCATTATAGATAATTACTGTAGTTTTGCCTCTAGTTATTTCATTACTTGTATTAACTCTCCAACTGAGTTACATGTTAATTGAATGAAACTAGAGTTTATAAAAGTGATATTTACTTATCTTAAATTAACAGTTTACTCTCCATCTGAGTTGGTCCTGTTTAAATTTATGGGGTTAATATCTGACATCACTCATATATTTTGCATGAATAGTTAAGTTTCCCTAACGAATCTAACTGTTCAATGAGCATGATTATATGTGTAATGTGTTGTTTTGAATCTAATCATTCTAAATACATATCTAATGATCTATTTAATTTGAATATCTCTCAGATTAACCATGTCTTCATTCAACCCACTTACCTCAATTTTGAACCAAAACAAGTTAGAAGGACCGAATTATGTTGACTGGAAAAGGAACCTTGATATTGTCCTAACTGCTGAAGGTTACAAATTTGTAATCACTGAGGAGTGACCAGAAAAATCTGAAAATGCTACTAATGATCAGGTTAAAGCCTATGACAAATGGGTTAAGGCTGATGAGATGGCGCGATGTTACATTCTTGCCTCTATGGCGAATGTTTTGCAACATCAGCATCAATCTATGGGGTCTGCTTATGATATGCTCGAAAGTCTCAAAGAGATGTTCGGTGAGCAAAATCGTGCAGCTAAGCAGACAGCCATGAAAGCCCTTTTGAACACCAA